TTCGATATCGTCGCATTCAGTCGGGTTCCACCCAATAGCGATCAAGGAAGAAAACCAGTGACGTGAGGAAGAAAAGCAGAAAAGTGGGTAGGCTAATTACATCCCGCCTGAAACCGCCAGACTGATTGTGACGATATCAACTGTATGCTGATACTGGGTGCACACGGTAACATCTTGCTTTATCACCATCTCAGTGTATAAACTAGTGAAAGCGCGAAAGCTGGTCGCCCGTAAGACTCAGTCCTATGTCCCATATTTTCCGACCTCATGGCGCCAATCGCTACCCTTGACGCGCGATACGAGGGAAAATTGTGACTGAAAATCAGCATGGGTCGTTTGACGTCTGTGTTGTGCAGCGAAGGGACAATTTCTGCCTGAAGCCGGGTGCAAACTTTGCGAACGTGGACAGTTTGAATCGGGAGGTTGTGAGGATCGCGAGAGTGCCCTTAGGAATAAAAAAAGAGGCCGCGCTCATACTTAGCGACTGACTGTGAGGAGATTCTGCGATTTGAGAGCTTGTGCGACGAGGAAGATGTAAGGGTCGATCTAGTGACTACGGAGATTGAGCGGTCCGGAGACTCGGGAGACCCCGCGTTTTCGGCCATTGTGCGTCAAAGCATTGGATTGGTATAGATCGGCGCCGTTCGCTAGTGACTGCACAGATTTGGCGATCAGCCGCCAGATCGATACCTACAATTTCCTTGTGTCGCGTTCTCTCGAATCGCCAAGTTTCCCAAATCGTCGTATCTCCCATATCGCCTAATCTCCTCAGCGGCAAACTATGAGCGCACCTATGAAGTGACTGGCACTGCCCACTAGGGTTTTCAGGAGAATGCGCGACTTTGGAGAACAAGAGTTACCCGTAGCTGATGGTGGGCGGAGTCAGTCGACTTCAACCTGGCCCTTGGGCGCGCTATTTCGTAGTTCGCGGATTTCCCGCATTCGCGAAGTAGGAACGCAGCTTTGCTGCGTAGATTTACTCTGTTCAGCGTCGTAAAAGTTGCCTCGGTGAATCCACTGCCTTTGTAGAAGATAGTTTGGATGCAGTGGAATAGTAAATAAGAGTTCTCCTAATTTTTGTTCAGAATATCTCGGCAATGTGGAAGGAGAAAATTCAACTGTGCGACGTTCGTATCACACTTCTGCATATGTTTAATGCAGACGGATCGCCTCATTATTATGTATGAAGCAATTCTTTTTGTTACGCTGCCCTTTACTACTAAGTTTTTTATTTCTAGCCACACATAGTTTTGATTACTCCTCAGCGCTTTTGCTAGTATTTTGTTCTTTTTGATCCTATTTTTTTAGTTTCTCCCCCTTCTATTAGAAACGATTGAAAAGGCAATCATTGCCCTGGACAACAAGGACATGATAGCATTTTTGATGCACAAAGGTACATTTATGCAGCTTTGTGAACGAGTTTCAGGGCCCATAGCAAGATTGATAATGATAAAATTCTCATTTAGCTGCGATTGAGGTCGGCTGTAATGAACTTGGGAACGTTATGCGCTCCTGCAACCCTCTTGGTGAGTGCTTTTTCATACAGAGCCATTTTAGCACTCGAGGGAGACAATTCGGCTTCGGCTACCCCGTCTCCGATTCCCTCTACTAGAAATAGGGTTAGTCGCAGACAACAGTAGTCAACGAGGAGTAGTACCACAGAGAAGACATCTTCTCCATTGAGAGAGAAGAAAACTGCTTTCAAACTTTGCGATCGCGCGACTGGCAGGGCACGCCATTGCGTTGTGATCTTTCCTGAAAAATACGACCCCCCTAATTCCATCTTCGACCCCCTCCCCATGCTACCTTCCACTTTCCTAGATTCTCCCAACCTCATACCACTTTGCCCATTTTTTCCCGAAAAATCTCTGGTTTTTTTTTACAAAATTTTGCTGTCGAGCGGGGGGGGGGAGGTCGCAGTACCTACGTACGTCCCAAGCACGTCCAGCACTCTGGCGCTGGTGTAGCATACTGACAATACGTACGAGGAAGGGGCGATGATAGGAGCTACGATCACCGCCCACAAGGGCACCATGAATTTATAAACAGTGGAAAGGACTTATCATTGACGATGAATAAAGACGAAAGTACATTCCCGGACTTTTCTGATTGCAGGAGCACATTTGCTTGCAATTGGGAAGCCCTATCTAGAAGTTACACCTTCCAAACACCTGCGTGAAAGCCCCATGCATGGCGCATTGCAGAGGTGATGCCAATTGGCGCCCAATGGCCTATTTCCTGATACCCTTTGCGAAAACATGTGTTTAGAAGCATACCAAAGTCTTCAAGCCAACTGGAGGTTTCATGGCCTCGGAGGGGCTGATTTTTCGTGTCGTGGGGGGTGGTCACGAAATGATCACAACGGGGAATTTTTTCGAATAGCAGGCCTAGGAAGAAAATTAAAGCCTTGCTGGAAAGTAGAAATCTTCAAGCTTCCGGCACAATTCTTTTTTTTACGAAAGGCCGTGTATGAAGCTTGCCATGGACGTCCAAAGCGTAGCGGCAAAAATGATCACAGACGGATCACAACGATGATCACAACGGGGAAAATCTCTGGAACGTTTTTGAAATCGCTCAATTCAGGTGACAAGAGCCAACCTAGCTCTACTCATTCCCACTTACCCCTCTCCGATAGCTTCACTTTCAACGAAGTTATGGGTGTTCAAATGAGGGGTACTTTTCACGTGTTTGGCTTGAAATTGGCTCCAGGCCGTAAAATAGCGCGCACCAATGAGCTTGTATGAGCGCGCTGACCGCGAACAGCCAAAATTCAAAAGTAATCCATAGTTCCGGTTCCCAGCTGGCCTGGTGAGTTTTTTCTTATCCATTTGATTGTGAATTATTTTGATTGTTTGTTTTTGTTGAGTTTGATTTTGTTTTGTTGAGTTTTTGTTGTGAGGAAATTGCTCAGGATTCAATTTCTACGGTTTCATAGGTAGCTTTTGCAATGGATTCTTTTCTAGATTTTGCGGATTAGTGGATTGGGATTTATCTAGACCAGATGAGGAGGGTTGGTGGGCGAAGTGTCTTGAAGTTTTTTGTGAGGAAGGAGGAAAAAGTTTCAGCAATATTTTTTTAGTTCTTGGCCTAGGAATAGTTCGATAGTGCCTAGTTCTATTTATTGTCATCTACATCGTCCCTTTTGAGCTTCTTTTCACTTGTACCGTGTATCTCTCTCCACTTCAACATGGGCCATGCGTTTACGACCCCCCCCCTCCATCGCGGGCAAATACGACCCCCCTGTTGTGATGATCACAAAGATGGCGTGCCCTGGCGACTGGATTGCGCGACCCCGACCGGGGCGCAAAAGCAGAAGCAGGATTCAAATTGGGCTGAGTTCACACAATACCAGTTTGAATTGTGTTCAAGCAATACCAGTTTGAATTGTGCCGTTGCGGCGGTGCACTAATTTAGCGATGGGGCGTCCCCCTGTCGTGGACGCGTGATCTAATCGCTGATCCACGAAGTCTACACGCGATCTAAAAGGCACAGAGCCATTACTAAGCTCCCCATCAACTTCATTATCGCTCAATTGTTTGAGTTTATCATTCTTTCATTCTTTTGACTAGCTTCATCTTGTGTTCAGATCCGACAAGCCGACTGGCTTCTCACGCCGCTGCAATGGGAATAAATCCTGCGCCATTCACGTCGATGATGCAGGTACGCGTATTATCAAAGTCTTTTTTTGCGTTGATTTGATTCGTACACTTCTGTATAAGTACTTTAAAGGCTACTGAACTTGCTTTGCAGCTGTCTTCACCAAATTCTGGGCGAAACCCGAACATGCTTGCTGATCTTCATGGAGCTGCAGCTGTTGTGGCAGCTCGGGATCAACTAATGGCAGCAGGTGTTCCCCCACTGCAACCTATGGAGCATCATCCAGGATTTGTAGCACGAGACATTTCGAAGCATTTGTTATGACTCGGGGAAACTAAGAAAATTTTCATTTATTATCTGTTTTAGAAGATGACTACTTCTTCCATTATACGGCATTCGCGCTTTGATATTTATATGTAAATAGGCCCTTTCTGAGACGAGTTCATCACAGCTTTATTCCTTCTAAAGATGTCAAAGTTTTGCGGATGAAGCTGAAGTTTGAACTCAACTGTGAATCCCGTGCGCTACCTTCAGTTCGTTCCACGCGGCTTTCGGATGATTTTTTGTTTGTTAAATTTTTACTGAGTGTATTCATTGGTTTTCAGAGACGGGAATGCAGAATCAGGTTTCATTCTGACCAAAGTTTCACGCAATGCCTTATTTATGTGTAGCTCGGTTTCATTCAAGCTGTATGATTACTGTATCATTGTCCTGTGATTTGTTTGTTTTTAATTATGTGTTGTTTCATTTGTTTATCTTTTTGTCAGATTGTTTTCCACCTGTAAGGTCGGATTTGACATAGTATTCGTTTCTGTTTGAACGAAACTGTGGCTGTAATTCGGTTTTTTTATGAGTGTCCCTGTGTTTGAGTTAAGATGGTAAGAGCGGTTCATTGTGCCGAATTTGTGTATCTGTTGAGGGATCCCAAGTCGTATGCTTTTGAGGATCAGTGTTTTTGGCGCATTTGTTTTCCATGGCTGTCGGTTAGCGTTAGGCAGCGTTTAGACCTTCGCGACGGTGGGCGCTTCGGAGCGCGTTCGACGTCCGATTCGATGGGAGTATAGAAAGCATGCGCATCATGGCGCTCCACGCGCTGGGACGGCCTGAAACGCTGCCGTCGGCCA